GTGAACTGTTTGTACTGAAGTTAGATTTCCAAGCTTAATTGCTATATTCACTGATGGGGATATTAAAATATTATTGCAAAGCATTGGCTTGCCATTTTCCCACACTGTTGTGTATGTCAGTCAAATCTGGTTAAACGAGGTCAGAGCAGGTCAATTGCTCAGACAGCATACCTCAAAGGAGTGCTTAAAAGCTTAGCAAAATGGTGTGGGTGATTAATTCAAATCAGTGTCAGGAAGAAGAAATGAAGGAAAGGGCTTTAAATAAAAGGATTCACTACATTTTCTTTGTCACTTGTAATTCCCCAAGATGATCTTTAGAATTAAAATGAAATGCAAGTCTGTCCGTGAATCTACGTTTTCCTGCATGTTTTGCGGAAGAAGTGAAAAATAAATATAGTTTTTTGGTTACAAATGCTCAGTATCCAACTGAGTAATCTTTGTTTATACATTTTTATTGGATAGGGTTCAGTTACTGTAAGTTTGATCCTGATGAATGATATGCATGTACATCTCTAATTCTCATGTAAAAGCCAAGGATTTCTTAGAGTGATATCTTTTCTTGAACCAACTATGTAATTGTGATAAAGCTAAACAAGCTTTTGAATGAAAGACATTTGTTATCAGGTCCTCTTGTTGTATAATTTTGCTTTTTTTTCTTTAGGTTGTAGATTTTCCATTGAAAGTGGCAGATTTTGATATCTTCCATGTTAATGGTAGCGTAAGAGTTTTGTTGTAGTTGTGATAGTTCAGATTTATGCGAGGCAAGGATTTCTTTCGTTGACATCCCTTATTGGACCAACTATGTAGTTAGCATAAAGTTAGACAATGAAAGACTAATTTTCTATGATGCTATGATTCTAATTAATCTTATTCCACCACATCAATGAAAATATTGTCTTTTATTAGGGTCTGCTTTTGATTATACTGATGACCAAATGCAGTATTTATAATGCAAGAGTCTCATTTGCTTCAACGTAAGCACTGCAACTGTTTCATACATGTTTTTAGGATTAGGCCGTTCTCTCACTGGTTAAGAGACATGATTCAAAGTCCATCAAAATCAATTGGAGTCATTACATTGAGGACAGTGGTTTTTGTGTCAGACCGCAGCCCCAGCTCAGTAGAGCATTTTAAACACATTCTTAAGACCATCATTAACCAGCAAAGCACTTAAACACATGCTTAATTTTATATATGGTCTAAAGTGCCTTGCTAGGTCCCTTTGGTAAAGATAAATCAGCAGGTTTTCTTATGTTACTTCTGCCTTTGGAGCTCACATTAGTGATGATCTTTTTTCAGGAGAAATTCGATTCTGGACGACACCAGCTCCTGAACTTTCTGACTCATGGCAGCCACGGTCCGTTGACATTGAACTTGCAGCCTATGCTTTGCTGTCTCACTTCCAGCAAGATAGATTAGCAGAGGGGATTCCTATAATGAAATGGTTAAGCCAGCAACGAAATCACCTTGGAGGTTATTCATCTACTCAGGTTAGATAAACGTTACTAGAAGCTCTGTTATGTACAGATAGACTTTCCAAATATGCACTTCACCTTTCAAACAATAATGTTGTTTTTCTATAACAAACATTAAAAATGTATTATTTTATAACATATTGTCCTAATCAAGCACATGCCAACATTGTTTGCTGGATTGGGATCTTAATCTGTTTAATGTAAAAAAAAAATAATAATTTTAAAAATTAATTAAAAATAATAAACAGAAAATGAGGAGCAATACAGTTATTTAAGAGAGAGAAAATACTGTAAAGAACTGAAATTGAGAAAATTAAGTGATCTTAAACCTGCATTTTTTGTGCATGTTTATGTCCCGTCATTGATGCAAATTGTTTTATTAAATTATTACACATAATACATATTATGGCATCATGGTACTCTGTTGTAGAGTATTTTTTTAGGTTTTTCTTGTTTTGTACTTTCCTGTCTTACAGTGTATTATAAAGCTGAACCAATAAAGTATTAGGACCATCAGATGGAAGGTGCTTTATAAAAGCAAGGTGTTCTTACTGGCCTAAGTTAGGCTTGCTACTGAGAAAATCATAGGAAAAAACAGCGAGAAACTCACGTAGCAAACCCCTTCCTCCTCCTAGCTGAAAACTGCTTCTAAACTTAGGTGTGCTATTTTGCCTTTTCAGTCATGCACTTGCAGTATTGGAGAATTTGCATATATGCAAGAGCAGGTACAAAGATATTCTGTATTTTGTGTGTCAGATGATGGCACACCATTCTGAGAGTAAATGTAGAAAAGGGATTGGATCTCTTGTAAAAAACTGACCATGAGACCACTAGGAAATTATTTTTGATGTATTTTTCTTCATATCTACAGTTCTCACTGCTATAGTTTTTGTTTCTGTGACTGAACAGCTGTGGAATCTGCTGATGAATGCCTGATACTTACATTTGTTTCTGGCTAGTGCACATTTAAGACCCACTGGCTTTTTAACTTGTCTTTTTTTTTAACTTGCCCTTCCTGTTGGCTGACGGATGGTATAGAGTGTGAGCCCAGCTTCACAATCTACAGACTTGCATGACATCTAAAAAGAAAATTCAAGCTGCAGTCCAGATATGGTTAAAAGAAAGTCCTAATATTAGGAACATTGCACTGGAAGAGACCAACTTCTGGTACTATGTGATTACAGGCAGCCATATAATGTTAAGTCTAAAAGGGTCCATAAAACTGTGTTTGTTTCAATGTGTTCCCTCTCCTTACTATGATGGGAACAAACCTTTTTGATGGAGCTATTATGTCAGGGAACGTGGAGGAGATGCACAAATGGAGGAGAGGCACAGAAGCTTTTGTATATATACTTGTGGCATATAGGAGTCTCAGCGACTATGACAGAATGATGTGGTAACTGTGGAGCTGTGGCCCACAGAATACAGCCATATATGGGTATTACTTATATGTTATTGTATGTTGGGAGGTGACTGTAGTAATATTCCAGCATAAGTGACATGTGAACAGTAGAAATCCTACATTAAGGGTTACGAAGCCCAACTATCTAAGGTCTTCCTTCCACATAAACATTTGACCAGTGTAACTGATTAGAAACATATTTGTTAAATATATTCAGATTCCTTATGGGGATGGTCATAAATCAGGTTTGTGTGTTCGTACTAAGACGTTATACTGATTTAACTAAATTGCAGAACCAATGTAATTAAAGTGATACAGCTTGTATGTGTAGCCAAAATTTAACAGATATTGGCAGCTGTCTAGTTTGCAGGCTTTCACATTTACTGTAGAAGCATTTGTTTCTCTTAACAGGACACAGTAGTTGCCCTGCAAGCCTTGAGTTTGTTTGCAGTTCTTACTACTACCAGTAAAACGGAAATTAGTGCAACAGTGACTGGACCAAATCTGGAAGCTCTGGCAGAATTTTCAGTTGATACTCAAAACCGGTTTCTTCTTCAGACCAAAGAGGTACTGTTGGAACACTTTGAAACAATCCTGTCCTGTTAATGTATTTGGAACATGTTTAATTTATCTTGTCTATCTTTTAGATTGCACCTATGCAACCAATGGTAGTTACAGTGTCAGCAGAAGGTACTGGATTTGCCATTTTTCAGGTAGGCAGCAATGTTTTGTACTTTTTTGAAGCTTTCTTTTTAAACATCTTTGAAAAAAGAATATTTGAATAGGAAACTTAAGATACTAGCTCAAGTAAGAAGCTATGTGGTGCCTTGTTTGAATTCCAAAGCAATGCACTAATTACAAAGCTTATATGGGTAAAGTGCTTGAAAACATGCACCCTGCACAATCACCAAGGTCAATGTAACTGCATAGGGCAGAAATTGCTGTATATTATGCCATCACTGCATTCTCTTTTGTTGTAGTGTAGAATTTTTTTAGGTTTTCTAAAGTGCCTTTCTCACCTGTGAAGTTGCAACTATTTAAATAGCATAGGCCGCACGACTTGGTGTTCATGTCTAACAGTGGAAATTTCTGAGAAATTTCCACCAGTAGAAATCTTCCTGGGGGAGAGAGCGCACAAGCCACCCTCCACTTCCCTGTCCTCCACTCTTTCATCAGACTGGGGCAATCCTGGTCTGGGGAGGGCATGGGAAGCAGTGGTTGCTCCACTCCTTCCAGTCCCTGGGGGGATAGAGTGGTAGAGAAAGATTCCCCATGCCTTCTCCAGACCAGTGTCTGGGGAAGGGGCAGTGAGCAGCTTCCTCCATTCTGTGTCCAGTGTCCAAAAGTGGAGTGGAGGGAGCAGCGGGGCAAAGTCCTCAGCCCCTTCTCCAAGCTGGGTAGATCTCAATTTGGAGAAGAGGCAGGGAGCAGTGGTGGCTGCTTCCCTTTGTTGCTTCATTCCCCTCCTGTGCAGACTGGGAAGAGGGTGTACAAACAGTCACTTATGCAAGAGATTTTCTTTCTCAAGGGAGTTCTTCCAAGTTGACACCTGGAAGATACTTCTCCCATAAAGGATGTGTTTCCCTTGGGAGAAACTGAGTGAATGCTTATATGCTCATAGTTTCTGCTAGGAAAGCATAGATTCTCTCAGTAGAAAATCATTACAGTAGCTGAAGCTTGAACATGTTGAACTAGCTGAAGGTCACCAGTAAGATTCAGCCACTTTGGCCTGCTCTCACTGCTACAGCTGACTCTCACCAGTGGTAAGTAGCCCACCCACAGTGCTGTGCAAACACAAATACACTGCTTCCAATTTAGGAAGAAGCCTGCCCAGAGCAGACAGTGTTTGAGCATTCTGCTGCCTGGTACAGTAAATGGGTGATGTAGACATGCCTTAAGACATTGGATTTTAGCTGCAAGCTGCCAGCAGAGAATACTTTGCACCAGCTACTCCCACTTCACTGGAGGGAACGTGTTGGAATTATAGTAAAACTCCTTTCTTATGATCTTGCACTATGATGCTGAGGACTGTGTGCCACTGGTATAAATTTAGGCAGTCCTGTTCTGTCTTAAACTGGGTTGCACAGATCCAGCCTTACAGTCAGGGATCTGCAACTTGTTCCCTTTTGTCCTTCAGCTTCCTCCACTTTCACCCCTGTATGAAGCTGTCTGCAAATTAATCTAGCCCATTCTGGTCAGTGAAATTTGGGGGGTAATTTATGTGGGAAGAATAGGAATCTGGTAGTTCTCTTGTTCATCCAATGTGCTATCTCTCACAGTGGGCAAAAGAAGATCTAGAAACCTGTAGTGGGTTAGTATTGATCAGGTGTTTCATAGAATCATAGAAAGTTAGGGTTGGAAGGGACCTCAGCAGGTCATCCAGTCCAACCCCCTGCTCAAAGCTGGACCATCCCCAACTAGATCATTCTAGCTAAGGCTTTGTCTAGCTGGGTTTTGAAAACCTCCAAGGATGGAGCTTCCACTGCCTCTCTGGGTAACCTGTTCCAGTGTTTTACTACCCTCCTAGTGAGAAAATTCTTTCTAATATATAATCCAAACTTTCCTTGTCGCAACTTGAGCCTGTTGCTCTTTGTTCTGTCATCTGCCACCACTGAGAATAGTCTAGCTCCATCCTCTTTTGAACCCCCCTTCAGGTAGTTGAAAGCTGCTATTAAATCCCTCCTCAGTCTTCTCTTCACTAGACTAAATAAGACCAGTTCCCTCAGTCTTTCCTCATAAGTCATGTCTCTCAACCCCCTCACTGTTTCTGCTGCCCTCCGCTGAACTCTCTCTAATTTGTCCTCATCCCTTCTGTAGTGGGTCAGCCCAAAACTGGACACAGTACTCCAGATATGGCCTCACCAGTGCTGAATAGAGGGGAATAATCACTTCCCTTGACCTACTGGCAACACACCTGCCAGTGCAGCCCAGGATGCTGTTAGCCTTCTTGGCAACAAAGGCTCATATTGCTGGCTCATATTCAGCTTATTGTCCACTGTAACCCCCAGGTCCTTTACTGTAGAGCTGCTGTCCAGCCAGTCAGCCCCCAGGCTGTACTGGTGCTGGGATTGTTTCCATAGCAACATGGGGAATTCTTCTGCCCATTCTTCTTTATTTGAAAGGATATAGAAATCTGTATAAGTTACAGTGTGCCACTAGTATAAGTAGTAGGTGGTAACTGACAGTTATAATCTGTTTTACCACAAAACTAGGAACAGCTCATATTCTTTTGAGTGACACGGGAAAATTGAGCTTAACTGATCCTGCAGGTCTGCTAGCTTTAAGTCAGATCAGATTCCAACTTGAGTTTCTTACATGCTTTTTTACTTTAATTTCAGCATCCTTGTATATCTGTAAGAGAGAGAAAAATGGTTTATGTTTTAAAATCATAGGATCATATGTGCGGAAGGGAGTTCAAGAGTCATAGTTTCATAGGTGGTAGGGTCAGAAGGGACCTGAGCAGATCATCAAGTTCGACCCCCTGCCGTGGCAGGAAAGAGTACTGGGGTCAAACGACCCTGGCAAGGTGTTCATCCAGCCTCCTTTTAAAGACCCCCAGGGTAGGAACCAGCACCACTTCTCTTGAAAGTTGGTTCCAGATCCTAGCTTCCCTGACAGTGAAGTCATGCCTTCTGATGTCTAGCCTGAATCTACCCTCTGCCAGCTTGTGGCTGTTATTTCTTGTCACTCCTGGTAGTGCTTGGGGGAACAAGGACTCCCCCAATGCCTGCTGGTCCCCCCTGACTAGTTTGTAAATGGCCACTAGATACCCCTCAGCCTTCTCTTGTGGAGGCTGAACAGGTTCAGGTCCCATAGCCTTTCCTTGTAGGGCCAGCTCTGCTGACTCCTGATCATGTGAGTGGCCCTCTCTGGACCCTCTCCATGTTGTCCACATCCCTCCTGAAGTGCGGTGCCCAGACCTGGACGCAGTACTCCAACTGCGGCCTGACCAGTGCCACATAGAGGGGGAGGATCACCTCCTTGGACCTGCTTGAGATGCATCTGCGGATGCATGACAAGGTACGGTTGGCCTTCCTGACCCCACACTGTCAGCCCATGTTCATTTTGGCATCAATAATGACTCCAAGATCCTTTTCTGCCTCTACACTGATGAGGAGGGAGTTCCCCAGCCTGTAGGTATGCTGCTGGTTCTTCCTCCCCAGGTGCATCACCTTGTACTTGTCAGTGTTGAACCCCATCCTGTTCTCATCCCTGTAACCTGTCCAGGTCCGATTGCAGCCTATTCCTCCCTTCTAGCGTGCCCACTTCTCCCCATATCTTAGTGTCATCTGTGAATTTGAACAGGGTGCGTTTTACCCCTTCGTCCAAGTTGCTGATGAAGATGTTGAACAGTGTGGGCCCGAGGACCAAGCCCTGTGGAACCCCACTGCCCACATCCCTCCAGGTCAGATAAGACCTGTCCATCACCACTCTCTGGGCCCAGTCAGCTGGGCCCAACAATGCACAAATGCAGGAAAGCTATTTTTAAAGTATCCCTGCTCATAGTTTAGCCAGCCACCTCTTGAAAACCCCCAGTGAGGGAGATTTCACAACTTTCCTGGCAGTCTGTTCCACTGCAGTACTGATATAACAATAAGGACGTTTCCCCTGATATCTAATATAAATCTACTTTGATGAAATTTACAGCCATTACTTCATGTCCCAACCTCTGCAGCAAGGAACAATAGTTCTTCTCCTTCTTTATGGCAGCCTTTCAAATATTTGTAGACTGCTATTGTGTCTCCCTAATCATCTTTTCTCCAAGCTGTAACATGCCTACTTTTTCTCAACTGTTCCTCATATGGCTTGCCTTCCAAATCCTTTACTGTTTTTGCTACTTGCCTTTGGATTCTTTCTAACTTCTTCACACACTTCTCAAAGTATGGCCTAGGAATCTTTTTTGTTTTGTTTTACCAAACCAGCCATTCTTGGTCCTCCAGAAACTGTGATCTTTGTTTACCTAGGGTTTCTACCTGGGGAACTGCAACTTGATCGTGGAAGTATAATGCTTGTACATACCCTTAACCAGCACTGAGTAAGGACACTTCTTTTCTCTTACACCTAATACCCCTGTTGATTCAACCCAAAATTGCATTTGCTTTTTATTTTTATTTTTTTATGAATGTGTCATCCTGACTCAGGTTTAGTCAGTGTTCCACTAATACTCGTAAATCTTTGGCTACCACTCAGACAGTCATCTCCTATTCTGTATTTGTAGTTTTAATTATTTTTCCCTGGGTGTAGCATCTTACATTTGTCTGTGCTGAACTTCACTCTGTTGTTTCTAGCCCAACTTTCTAATCTATCAAGATCCTTCCGAGTTCTACTTGTATTCTCCAAAGTGTTTGCAGTCCTTCCCAGTTTCATGTCATCTGCAGACCTCACCAGGAAGTACCCAAAATCATTAATAAACATGTTAAATGGTATTGGACCCAGGATAGACCCCTGTGGAATCACACTCAAAACATCCTGTCATTCTGACATCAATCAGTTTATAATTGTGTTTTACTGGGCGCATCTACACATGCACTTTACTGCAGAGTAGCCTAATTAGCTCTGTAGTAAAGCACCACAGTCTACACGTGCTGTGGTTATTAATAAGTAAATTAATTAACTCTATCATAGGATAATGCTGTTGGGGACAGTACAGCAGAGTAACTAAGTGTGATGAAATGCACATGTAGATGGTGATGGGCTGGCTTGGCACAAGGGT